TGTTTTAGATGGATTAGGGATCAGCTGGTTTTCCCTGTAATAGGCAGTAAGAGCACCTAGAGCTTTGGAGAGGGTCTGTTCTACCATCTCAAAGCTCCCTGCTTGAGCAGTAATGGCACGATCATCAGCATAGATGAAGCTCTCTGTCCCTTCTGGCAGTGGCTGGTCATTTGTGTAGATGTTGAACATGGATGGAGCAAGCACGCTCCCCTGAGGCAGGCCGTTCTTCTGTTTCCGCCATCTGCTTCTCTGGCCCTGGAACTCAACAAAAAAGCTCCTGTTTTGTAGCAGGTTTCCTATGAGGCGGGTGAGGTGGTCGTCCTTTGTGATACTATACATTTTTCTCAGGAGGAGGCCAAGGTGGTTCACAGTATCATAGGCTGCTGACAGGTCTATGAAGACAGCTCCGGTGATCTGCTGCCTTTCAAAGCCATCTTCGATGTGCTGAGTCAGGTTAAGCACTTGCGATGTGCAGCTTTTGCCTTTCCTGAAGCCAGCTTGCTGTGGAATCAGACATGGGTCTATATTTTCCATAATTCTATGCAGAATGAGTCTCTCCAGAACTTTGTAGAGGTGGCACAACGGTCTGTAGCTTTTTGGGTCATTACGGATATTTGCCTGGCTTCAAGGATGGCGATGACTCTTGCTTTCCTCCAGATTTTGGGGATCTGACAGGATACAGTGCAATTGTTCATCAGCTCCAGTAGCCAGCACTTTGCTTTTGGGCCAAAGTTCTTGATTTGTTCCATCCGTAGATCTACGGATGGATCTAAGGGATGATCACAGCTGACCTCCGGCTAGAGCGCTCAAGGGCCAGGGCTTCCCAGTTCTCGGTATCTATGAAACAGCCCATCTTTAAATCTCTTTTCCTGTCCACCAACCTTCTGTTTTCCATTCTTGAGTTGGCAGTATAATAACTGCTTTGGCAGGTGGTGATCTTTGGGCATTCAGACAATGTGGCTAGCCCACCATACACTTTCATCGTCATAGGCGATGTGGCCCACAAATATGATTGCCTTCTATCACGCTGTATCATAGAATCATAGAATCAAAGAGTTGGAAGTGACCTCATGGGCCATCCAGTCCAACCCCCTACCAAGAAGCATTCAAATCACTCCTGACAGATGGCCATCCATCATCATCATCAATTGCATTTCTATCCAACCTTACTTCCCTTAGGAGGTGGCTCACAATCGAGTGATAGAACCCTAGAGTTGGAAGAGAACCCAAGGGTCATCTAGTCCAATCTATAAGAGAGAGAGAGATAGATGATAGATAGACAGACAGATAAATAGAATCCTAANGAAAGTTTCCCTATGCCTGTTGTAGTGTGACAGCACTTTAACTGTCGTGGCTTAATGCTGTGGAATCGTGGGAATTGTTGCTTGGCACTGTTGCATTATCCGGGCGTTTTAAAGGGCCTTTAACCTTATTTGCCAGAGTTTTGGGACCTCAGTAAATTACAAATCCCAGGATTCCAAAGTATAGAGGCACTCTGAAATGGAGATGCACCCCAAAAAGGCGAAGGGGATTTTTAATCGGTGCGAATATTAGGGCTGATTTCCAGCCCATTTCGAATGGCGTTGCAAACTGCAAAGGGAGAAAGCCATTATTGGAAGGGGGGGGGATTGAGGGGGTTATTGCAAGGGGATGAGGGTCACGGCTACATTATCATCCAGTGCTGTCTGGTTTTGGCCAAACTGGGGAAGCAAAGCAACGATCAGCTGCTGCTTACGATCCTTCCATGGCGCTTTTTGGCAAGACTTCGGCCGGATTTCAGCTGCCCTCCTCCACCTCCAAGCTCTTCCTTTGGGGTGGCGAAGCTAAGGGACGCCTCCTTGTCGGCCGGCCAAAGTCCAAGGGGAGGATCTTAAAGGAAAACCCCCTTCAACCGACCCTCCCACTCAGAAAGCACCAGGTCCTGTCTAATCTGGGAAGCTATGCAAGATCAGCCCTGGCTAGT